AAATCATTAAAGGGGAACGATATCTTGCAGATCACAGTGCTTTGTCAAATGGCGGAAAACTGGGTCAGTCATTTGAAGTTCTGGACTGTGGACTGATAAAGCAGTAAATAAATGTATTTTTGGATAAATAATGCATAATGCATTAATAGTCATAAAATAATATACATTAATTATAAATAACTATCATTATTTGTCTTCTGTTTATGATCCCATGCATTTTTCAAAGAGAAAAAAGGTTTTTTTTTTTTTGTATGAAACCTCAACAAGTGTGGTTACTTTTATTGCCAGAACTCCAACTTAAACACATGAAGACAGTAAATAACAGTTTACATTTTTTTTTTATTTGACAGACAAAATTACGTACTTTGGGCGTATTTGTGGTTGTGACTAATTTGATTTGAACTGACAAAACAGGGGGTTTATATGACATTTCTAATTTGGTATGTCTAGACAGTGGGTTTGTTTTATTATAGACAATTACAAATGTTCAAAGTCAGGGGCTTAACTTCCACTGGGATGGGGGATACACATAATATCTCCCCACTTTTCAAAATCCTGTTTTTGTCTCCCCAACATTTTTTTTTATATCCCCTAAAATCAACATTCATGGATGAAAAACAATGTTAATTTAGGATTAGCTCTGCACAGAATAATCACCTTTTCTGTCTGACAGAATGTGTTAACACCTGTTGATGTTTGTCTAATATAAATTTATAATTTTTTTTTTACAATAATCAAGATTTTGATATAATTTTCCTAAATATCCACGATGGACATCCAGCTTTCTCAAGCCTCCGGTTCTTAGACTGCAGCTCTGCACAATACGTTTGGACATAGGAAAAATGGTCATGCCCAGAAGAGCCTGGTTTCTCTCAAGGTTTTTATCCTTTACTGTGACCAACTGATGAAGTTTTTTCCTCGCCCCTGGCTTGCATTGTTCAGGACTTGTGGAGCTGCGCATCGATGGATTTGCTCTTCAGTCTTTGGACTTTCAGCAGTGAAAACTAAACCACACTAAACTAAACTTCAACACTGAAAACTGGACTGACGCTGTATCAATTTACTATAATCTTCTATGTAAAGCTGCTTTGACACAATCTACATTGTAAAAGCGCTATAGAAATAAAGATGAATTGAATTGAAAATTAATTTTGTTAATGTCTATCTGCAGCTGATATTACAAAATAGTGATTCAGGTCAGCACCAGTAGCAGACACAAAGCACCAAGATGCTCATGGTCACCCAAGTTTGATTCCTGAATCAAATTCCTTTGCTGATCCTTCCCCCTATCTCTTCTCCCCCCACTTTCCTGTCTGTAAAATTTTCACAGTCCTATCAAAACAAAGGTGAAACCCCTAAAAAAGTGATTCAGCACACAGTTCATAAAGTTTAGGTTAGTTTGTAATTCAATTTGTTTAGTCAGTTTGTTTAATCAATTTGTTTCTCTGAATTTTGTATCATCATCATCCCTAAATATATGTAAATACAGGAAATGGAGTTTAAATCAAAAAACATTTTCCACAATTTTTTGTCCCCACAACTCTCAAACCAAAGTTACACCCTTGGTCATGGTACATGGTAAACATCACTATTATTCCTTTCTCTATGCTTGCATGTGTTTTCTTAACAGCACGTTAGGCTCTCGGCCATCGTACGAATCACTCAAAAAGCTAAACCTGCTGAATTTAACTTTAACTGAAGGGGACACATTTTTCTCAATATTAACGCCAATCCACATCTAATAATCTAAATTTGAGTGTAATCTTCTGGATTTAAAACCTTCTCATCATCTGTAAAGCACTGAGTGTGGACTTCCCAGCAATCTGATTTCATCATACATATCATATAAATATGATACTTTTAGATTGTTGCACATATATGCCTTACTTTTATTCATTTTCTTTTAGGCTTATAGTCCCTTTATTAATGAGGGGTTGCCACAGCGGAATGAACCATCAACTTATCCAGCATATGCTTTACACTGCTTTACACACAGAAAGAGTGCTTTGCTTCCAATTAATGAAATAACATAACATATACAGGACCATCAGGATAGCTTATGGCTTCCTGAAAGCTGTGTATTAGTTCTGTTCAAGTAAGCTTGAAATTTGATACATCATTTAACATATGACAAAGCAGCACTGGCATGGAAAATTCAGTATTTTCTCAGCTGCAGTATCATATTGTGCTTGTGCATAACATTATCATGCTGTTCTTGTTCCTGCATGCATCTTCCTTGTGAAAGTTGCATTTCCCTGCAATTCCTCTTTTTAAATTAATATGTAATATTAAAAAAGGTAAATACAAACATACATAAATATACAGTATAATGTTTAACCCAATATAAAACTTTCACTTGTGAAAGTGCTCTATATTTAAAGATCTGAACTATTATATTGTGTTGCAGGTTGAAGATCCAAATGAAGAATAGATAACAACATTAAACATACAGATTAAAGTAAAATGAGCTTATTCCCAAATGTATGTCACAAACGCTGTTTAAAATATAAATAATACTTTAAAGAATTTTTCATCTTAATATTGAAAGTCCTCAACAAGACTGAAAATATGCATAAATGACATCTGTAATGTGATCGTCATTTAACAAAATAACTGGTAACACTTTAGATTAAGGTTGTTTTGGTAAACATTTATGTATTTACTAACAGCAACAGACAATAAACAATAAAGTACAGTACAGTACAATTTATTGCAGTATTTTTTAAATGTTACTTAACATTAGGTAATGGAAATAAGCTTTTTCAATATTAGTTCATGTGAATTACAGTACATTAACTAATTTAAACAAGCGTGACCTTGGGTGTTAATAATACATTAGCAAATGCTGAACTATGGTTAATAAATTACGTGCAAGTATTGTTCATACTTTGTTCCTGTTAGTAAATACATTAATGAGCTATTAGTAATGAAACATTATTGTTAAGTGTGACCAAATAACTTCTAAATTGTGAATATAATATACATAGGCCTATATTGTATTTATTAAAATGCATATTGTATGTGCATTTTCTGACAAAGACTGCGTTGTTATTTATTTTTACTTGTTGAATTTGCACTTAGTGCCAGAGCAATGATCAGAGAGCACGTTCCTTCTCTACATGTTTCTGCATATGTGAGCTAAAATTTAGGGAGCTACTTGCTTATGGACGGGTAAAAGGAAAAAGGAAGGATGTGAATATGGACTAATGAATGACAATAGATTTCATCACTATTTGTTGTTTCAATAACAACCACCTCCTCATTGACCTTAGCTGTAGAATAAAGCAAAAATCCTGGTGCCGAGTGTCTGACAGATGGAAAAAAAAAAGTCAAACATTGAATAACCAATTTAGTGCATTTTACTTCAAAATACATCAGTTGGTCTCTTAACTTTCTTTAAACCACAAATAAATGGTCTATCTGATACTATTCGAAAGCCTCCCATCCTTCCTGCTTTTGGTCACTCAAGCTTCCTTAGTGTGAGACACAGAAATTTCAGTTATTACCATAGACTGTAAGGTAATTTACCAGTTTAAGCTTATTTTTTAAAGTTATTAGTTATTAATCAATTTATAGAAGTATCTATATTTATCTGAAGTAGGGATTTACACACTGCCTGCAGGAAATCAACGAGCATTTATTTTAGTAAATATTCTGAAAGTACATCTTCAAAACTATTGTGTGTGTGATTTAAAAATATTTTACGTAATAATACTAATAGTATATATTTTCAATGAGATGATGTCATTAGCACATGAATAATTCCTGCTTGTTGCCAAACTACTTCATAACCATAACAATGCAAATCCTAACAACATTATCAATGTGGCTCTTTTCGGATTTTCCGAAGGTATGGAAATGAAAAATGTAAAATAGAGACCAGATAGGACCACTGTTATTGTTTACATCCCTCAAAATAGTCTATACAATACAAAAAAGCGTCTGCTGTAAGCCAAGATCTGCACGTTTAGACTCGGGAAAGGCAAATAAGCATGAGCTAACAATGACCTCTGGTGGTTGAAGGAAGAAATGACAATTTATTGTGCATAGTATCATAATTTTGTAAGTAGCATATGTCTCGGATGTTATGCATAATATGCAAATTATATATTTTAATATTTTTTTATATTTGGAGTACCACCAAATGAAAATGAATTCCCATAAAACCCTAGAATAAATTCATTAATTTACTTCCCTGTAATTAAAAAAAACAAAAAAAAAACAGACTCTGTAAGGTCTTTAAATTGCAGTTCTTCACACACACGCAGGCACGCACGCACGGACACACACACACACACACACACACACACACACACACACACACAGACACACGCACACGCACACGCACACACACACACACACACACACACACACACACACACACACACACACACATTAAAACATAATGAAAAATGTTTTGGATGATGAAAACCATTTTAGAACTGTATCATAGCTGACCTCATTTTAATCTGTAGTCTTCATGTTGGATGTAATATTACTGATTCCAACTGGATATTTAGTTAATGGTTGATTAATAGCAATGAAACTAAGAATACCAAACTGATTAATCCCTCACTGTCTATTTGCAAGATACAGATTTTTCTATTGGTTGTAACTGCCTTTTTTTTTATTCATTAACCTGATGGAGGAGTCAGATTTATTTCCTGTGGTAACTGAAAACATGCTTTCTTTTAATAAACATAAAACCTGGTACATTCCCTCAACTACAAAGCACAAACTGCATTGAGTGCTGTTTTCAATACCTCATCTCATGCAAAGCACATCTCCCTAAACGACAGCTTAATTTAAAGCAGCATAAAGAAGTTCCTCTTTAGTGTTATTCATCTCCTTTGCATTTCAATTCAGCCAATATTTCCAACCATAATTTTTTCCCACTCTGTATTTGAGAGACATTTATTTATGAACACCACCACGAATCTTGTTTTATATAACCCAACAATGAACAACATAAAATCCAAATGACATCTTTCTCAGTCAGGTTAAGTTCAACATTAGATCCAACTCCTTTATTAGGACATTTAAATATCAGACTAAGTGTTTTACAGAGTTAATCTGCAAGTATGGATGAAGGGTACATCTGGAAAAATAAAAACAGAGACTGAAGAACTCCAGACTGTGTGGACTTGGAAAAAATGCAGCAGATACTGTATTTATATACAATTTTGAGTGAAGAAAATCTAGAAGTTGATAGCTTTTCCAAACGAAGCAGCAAGGTTAGCTTCTCTGAAGGCCTCTGATACAGTCTTGAAAAAGCAGAAAAGTTTGGTTAAAACTTTTTTTAAAGACAACATTAAGATTGTTACAATTAATAATAAGTGACTGATTAGTGTGCTCATTTATTAGAATGTCTATAAATTATATGAGTCAAAAACTTACAGTAGAAAAAATAATTAAGCTAGTACTTTTTGTACTTTTTTCCATACAAAAAACAAAAAAGGTAAATTATTAAATAATTATTTCAACAGAATTTTCTTTGAAGTTCCAATTATTAATAGATTGTTCATAGCCTTTAATATCATGGGGTTGATACAAATTCAATATTGGGAGTGTGATATTCTGTTAAATTGTTAAGCCCCACAATAGCCAAAGGACATTATAAGGCACCTTTTATGCACTATATTAAAGTAGTAATTACTAAGTGTTCTGAAGCAATTGGATTGTTCATTGTGTAATACAGATGAATATTTAAGTCGCTAAACAGATATTCACATCAACGCTTCTCTTTGTTGCATATGACAATCATTCTACATTCAAACTGAGTCATCATGGAGAGTTTTGTGTTGGCCATTATAACCAAATAGGACACAATGTTCCCATTATTGAATTGGATCAGAAGAATTTTTTTTTTTAAACTGCACTGTACTTCTGCACTGGATGCACATATGTGCTTTTTATGCAATGTATTGAACATAATATTACTGTTGTACAATAAAATGTATTTATTCCATCTTATTTTCCCTTTTTCCTTATTTACCTATTGTGTTGTTGCATATTTTAGACAATTATTAAAAAGTATTGATCTGACAAGTGCAATAGTATTTAGTAAAGGGCTATATTTTTTTTACATACAGTTGCAATCAGAATTATTAAACCACCCGAATTAATAGACCCCCTGTTGAATTTAGTTTTTACCTTAAATGTTTTTTAAAAAATTAAAAGCTGCTTTTTTTCTAGCTGAAATAAAACAAATAAGACTTTATCCAGAAGAAACATATTATTAGACATACTGTGAAAATTTCCTTGCTATGTTATACACAGTTTGGGAAATATTTAAAAAATAAAATAATTCAAAGGGGGGCTTATAATTCAAATTACATCTGTATATATAGTTTTTTCTTTATTACAAATTATCTGTATTTAGTAGATTTAATACCCAAGATGGATTATTAGTTGAGTTTCTATGTTCTCCATGAGATGTTGAAATTGTACATGGTTTAAAACAATTGTAGACATACCAGATAAGCATCTCCAGAATTTCGAAATCAGATCAATATTCCTAATATGCTCATTCATCATGTCAATTAACAATAGGAACTACAAAAAAACAAAAGAATTTAACTTAGATTTTAAATCTGAAAAACTTACGGGATGGGCGTGACACACTCTTGCAACATCCTCACACGATGCACCATATTCCATAGCCAAAGCAGCCTCATTAATCATCTCCCCCGCTCCCTGTTAAATTAAAAATGAATATATAAATGATCCTGTAGTTAGAATTTCCAATGCAAGAAAAGCAGGCAGATCATTACCGATCCCAGAATATGTGCTCCCAGCATCCTGTCTGTGTCCTTGTGGCTAAGGATTTTTACCAGTCCATCTGTATCAGCATTCGTCTTGGCTCTGCTGTTAGCCGCGAAAGGAAATTTGCCCACCTTATATGGCACACCCTAGAAAACATTATTACACATTGTCATTTTCTAAACCCCTGGACAGTATAATGACTTGAGCAAAAAAATTTAAATAGTTTTATTAGGTACCCTCTCAGTGGTTTCCAAAGTGGGGTCACAGGACAATGACAGGGGGTGACTTGGTGAACAATTTGACTAAACTATTAGAATTAGCATATTTTAACCATAACCCACAGAAGATAAAAATAGTAGTTTTTAATAATAAAAAACAGCAACCTGCAAATGGCGATCTGTAACTGACGGTCTCCAAAGTAAACCAAGAATAGACTTGTGCTGAAAACACACCAGTCTTTTTAGCTGAGGTTAATATTATAAGGTCACGAAACACCAAAACACATTTTTGAGATGTTGACAGTCATATATATGTCCCAAGTTGCTAAAAACACTGTTAGGACACACATATTTCACAAAAAAGTGAAAATTGGTTGTTTTGTGTTATTTCAAGCAAAAATACGTTCTTCCGGTTTGAAAAGAAAATTTGAAGCTATGTCATGGCAATTAGATCCTTGTGAGAATTCCAGCGTGTAAACTGGATGTCTGTACCATTGGGTACAACGTGATGTCTTTGAGCTTTCAGCATTAATTCATGAGAAAGACCTCCGAGTCTTTCCAGACCGCCAATCAGCGCACTCTATTGTGTATGAGGTGCAACTTTATTAATATGCATGATAGCTTCGAAGACTGTTTTTACCTGTGACGGAAGAGAGACGCAACATTGTGTTGCCAACCGTAATAGAAACAAGTGGAAGAAAAAGAATTGTTTGGAGATATGAGTCCTCAGTGTTGCATTTATAAATCTGCTACAACAAAGGTTTTGTTTTCAATTCCCCGCTATGAAAGCGCAGCTGGACTCACGTGTGGATTACAATGCTCTGCTAATCCGCAACAAAAGTGCGTTTGTAAGGAACATTTTTTACCCGAGAGCTTTCGCATCTAGAAATTGTGAAATCCGAATTTGCCACTCGTCTTCTTTTAAAAAAAGATGTGGTTGCAGTTGGAGTTGATTGTCCTGTCTATACAGATTTGGTAAGTGCAATCAGTGTTCAAGTTTTTTTCTCCCATTCGCCATGCGATATCAAACATTACATTAAAACTACACTCTTCCAGCAGTTCCTTGCAACCATTATCTCATTCGTCACGGGGGGCATGCAGAAATGTTCCTGAATGAAAGTGAAAGTGCTAAACTGCAGTTTAAGTCGACAAATTAATAATTTGGCAAATAATTATATTACTGATGTACATTTAAATATGGGCACTTGTCTTTCTCCTTTCGTCTGTGTGTTGTTTTGAGAAAATCAGTGCATGCTCGAACCGAAAACTCCCATTTTTATGCTAACCCTTACCTCTTTCACCACTCTACACTCCCACCTAAACAGAGCTGGACTCACCCACTTTCCTAACTTTTTTCAAACTAGAGGTGTGAAAACACCCAGCTGAGACAGGGGGGTTTCATGGCCCTTTAAACTAAACAAATTAATAAATCACTATAAAAATTATACGGTTGTTAAACTGTTGCACTTTTTGTGTTGTCAATATGCTTGTGTTTATATGGGCATATTGTTGTGTGCAACGTTTGTATATTTATAACCACCTCCGAGTAATTTGGGGATCGCGAGTCACTGGCATTGTTATTTTTAAAGGGTCAAGAAACACCAAAACACATTTTTGAGCTGTTGACAGTCGTATATGTGTCCCACACTACTAAAAACACTATTAGGACACATATATTTCATTAAGAAATGAAAATTGGTTGTTTTTGTTATTTCGAGCAAATTCGTACTTCCGGTTTGAAACAAATTTTTGAAGCTGCATCATGGCCATGAGATCTAAGCGTGTATTCCAGCGTGTAGACTGGACGTCTGTACCTGGGAGTACCTTATGACGTCTCGGAGTGTGCTGCATACATTCATCAGTAAGACTTGGTTCAAACCAATCAGCGCGCTCTATTGTGTATGAGGTGCAACTTCATTAATATGCATGATAGCTTCGAAGACTGTTCTTACTTGTTACAGTGTTCAGACGGCAGAGAAAGATGCCATGTTGTGTTGCCAAGCAGGAGAACAAGAATTGTTTGGAGATACGGGTCGTCAGTGTTGCTGTTATAATTTGCTGCAGTGAAGGTTTTGTTTTCATTTTTCCTCTATAAGAGCGCAGCTGGACTCACATGTGGATTACAGTGCACCCAACGCGTGACAGAAATACGTGTCTAAGGAACATTGTTTACCCGAGAGCTTTTCTCATCTGAAAATGGTAAAATCCGAATTTGCCTCTCGTCTCCTTTTAAGACACAGCTCCAGATGGTGTTGATTGTTCTGTCTCTACAGATTTGTTAAGTGAGCGAGCAGTGGTCTTTGTTTATTCAGAGGCAAAGTTAATTCGTATTGTCAGCAGTACTCTTTCAGTATTTAAAGATGGATCTTAGTCAAATGATTTCTAAGTTAATAGAGTTTACCGTACGTTAATATCACTACAATATTAAGGACTGAAAAATCTCCTGTAAACGTGGCTCTCAAAGTGTAAACATGTAAGCATCACATTCAAACTTACGATCGAGTAAGATTTTCGTTGCAATTTGTGACAGGAATAACACACACGGCCTTCTGACGCTACCTAACGAGTGAATCTAAGTTAACGAAAAATGCGGAGGGTTTTTTTCTCTCATTCTCCGTTCAGTAACAAACATTGCATGAAAAATGCATGCTTACAGCAGCTCCTCGAATCAAATATCTTGTTTGCGACGAGAGGCATAATTAAATTCCTAAATGAAAGAGCCAAACTGCAGTTAAAGTCCACCATTTAATAATTTGGCAAATAATTAGATTAATGATGTCCATGTAAACACAGTCAACTGTCTTTCTCCTCTGTGTCTGTGCATTTATTTTGCCTCTGTGTAAATCATGCAAATTTTTACGGACCTTCCCTCTTTCCCTCCTCCGACACGCCCCCCTAAAAAATGCTAGACACGCCCACTTTCCTGACTTTTTCCAAAGTAGAGGTGTGAAAAAACTCTATGGAAACAGGGGGGTTTCATGCCCTTTTTAAGTTTGGGAACCCCTGCCCCATCTCATGACTGCACTTGGAATCATCCTAACTTCTCCCCAATTGATGTGACATACATTTACAATTGAAAATGCACTAAAATGAAATTGATGTTACTCACTTCCTCTTTAAGCTGTTCCTCAGTTTTGCCGACCCAGGCAACCTCAGGATGTGTGTATATAACAGAGGGCACACAGTTGTAGTCAATATGGACGGCTCCTCCTGCCATTCCCTCCACACAAATGATACCCTCATCCTCTGCTTTATGAGCCAACATGGGTCCAGCTACTACATCTCCGATGGCATAGATACTAAATAAGATTCGTAAACAGATTAGGACTTGTTTTATGTGCAACATAATCAAGAACAATTATTAGAAGTGGTGTAACGGATCACAAATCTCACGGTTCGGATCACACTGCATTTTTTCAGTTACGGACCGGACCATTGTTTCAGATAAGCCATAAGGCAAGAAAACAATTGTAATTTACTTTCCATTTATTACAAAACAGTACTGCAAGAAACAAATATAACTTTTAACTTTTAACTTGATATTTTAACTAAAACAAAATCAAGAAATAACCAGCTGAATAAAATAAAATGATAAAATATTCAATAATGTGAAAAATGATGTTCTGTAATGTTTTCTGATTATATAATTGTTTTGAGGAATTGAGGGCCATATTTTGATTGTCGCCACCTATTGGTAAAATGTAATTGCTACAACTTTCATCTTTGAGCATCAATTTAAAGACTAGAAGTATTTTTAGTATATCTGTGCAACTATAAACTGTTATTCCAGTACTTCTGTGTTATTTGATTGTTTGTAACTATGTAAATAACAGAAAAGGGTAAAAACTAAATCTCTATCTCGTTCAAAGATTTGAATGCAGCACTTAAAAAGATTAATAAAAATAAGCAAATCATCTTAAATTATAAATAAGGTGTTTGAATTGAGATCTCCATCTTTTGATGATTAATTGTGCGGGTTTACACTGAATGCATTAATGCAGGCTAAACAAGCAGTGACACCTTTGATAACCTAAGAAAGCATTTAGGTGCCTCCACAACTTCTTCTGTCATCCTTATATTTTACAGGAATGCCAAAATGCTTTCATACATGAGATTTGAATGAGGAGGTGATCTCTCTGTGATCGTTCCAAATGGATTAATTATCTAGTAAAAAAACAGTTATTAATCCATGGATCATGTACGTTTCGAACGGAATGAAAACGTATGGATCGCAGATCAACGGTAACCCGTTACACCCCTACTCAATAAAGATCTTCATACTTGGGCACGTTGGTCTGAAAGCGGCCATTAACAGGGATTCTCCCACGTTTGTCCAGTTCAATACCAACAGACTCCAGGCCGAGGTTTCCAGTGAAGGGACGACGGCCAATGCAGACCAGCAGAACATCACAGGTGAGTGTCTCATTCTTGCCACCGGCTGCAGCTTCCACACTAAAAAAAAAAAAAAAAAAAAAAAAAACATATCAGGCAAAGATTCTAAAAGATTTTGATTAGAAATCAGCTGATGAAACATCCAACTCACGCCACATCAATTTTGCCATCAGGTCTTTTGGTGGCACCCATGACCTTGGTGCTCAGTTTAAACTTCAAGCCCTGCTTTTGGAGAATTCGCTGGAAATTCTTAGAGATCTCCATGTCAATGCCCATACCACCAACATGGCCAAGAAATTCCACTGCTGTAACTTTGGCACCCAACCTCTGCCATACAGAACCCTGAAAAAAATCATAATCAATCCATAACAGAATCATCAGACCTAAGTGTTGTAAAAATGCACTTTTATTACCAAAATAACTAATTCAGAACAGGCTTATGATGAATCAGTTATAAAATTTCACAATATTCCACTCACCAACTCCACACCAATGACTCCTGCTCCAATCACAATAAGTTCCTCAGGAACATTCTTGAGGGACAAAGCACCAGTGGATGACACAACACTGTCTTCATCAATCTGTCAAAAAGTGTAACACAATTAAAATCTGTGATCTGAATGCATCAAATCTACATACATAAAGGCTATAAAAAAGCTAAATCAGAATATACATATACATATGTGTGTTAATTCACCTCAAAAATAAAATATGTTATTAATTACACACCCTCATGTTGTTCCAAAACCCTGGGGTCCGCTCTTCGTACCTCGATTAAATGATCTAAGATGATTTGGCAGATCCTGGATCTTTTAATCTTGATAACTGATCTCTCGCTAATTTGGTTTTTCAAACAAGTTCGCGAATCAGATTAGCATGCCTGGATGAACTGATCTGAGATCGCTGCGTGTGTTGTGAAGGACAGATCTATTGATCCTCGAAATCATGATCAGCAATGCAACGATTGGCTGACGGCACAGCAGCGTAATGACATCATCTGATTAATATTCAATTATCCATGTAAGCAAAATTACATCAAATTAGCAGTAAACGGTTTGTTAAATATGACACGCAATAACTATCCACACTTGTTGTGAGCTGCAGGCTTTACACTTTCACGTGTCGAGTATTCATCATGTATTTCAATGCACTTTTGTGAAGCATAATCACTGGCACATTAACTGTTAAAACATGTTTATGACTGCATTAATGTATTTTTTCTTTTTTTTTTTTAAGTCAAATATTGTACATTTCTATTATCATTGTACTAAATTGTACTAAAGCGATCTAAAAAATTAATATCAATAAGTTTTCTCTTTGCACCACCAGGTGGCAGTCTTTGTTCTTTCATTTTATTAATATATATATTTAAGTTTTATTAATATATATAACTTTATTTATTTTATTAATAATTTTAACTTTATATATAGTTAAAAAATATTTATTATTTTCCCAAGTGTATATAACTACTACTGTAAGAAAATATCAGAATTCGGTACATACTTTCTCTATTATCTTTGCTTAAACTGACCCGACCTAATCCTGTTTATATGAATTGAACCTGCTTCCGATCAGGTTTGAGCAAGCAGAACTGTTGCTATGACAACAACTCTCGGATCAGCTTTGAAGAACAAAACAATCCTGGATCGTGTCAAATCGTCAATATCCAAATCCAGCTAACTGAGTAATCCACGTACGAAGAACGGACTCCTGAGCCCTTAAATCATCCTCAGAACACGTTCAAAGCTTAGAAAGGTACTAAAAACATCTTCAGATCATCTATCACATATTGAGTGGTACAACTGGAATTTGTCTAGGTAAAAAAATAATTCTGTGTGTACATGAATAATAATTAATAGCCCCCTTTTTGAAATGTATTTTCTTTAAAAATTTCCAAAATTATGTTTAACAGAGCAAGGAAATTTTCACAGTATGTCTGATAATATTTTTTCTTCTAGAGAAACTCTCATTTGTTTTATTTCGGCTAGATTAAAAGCAATTTTTAATTTTTTAAAACCATTTTAAGGACTAAATTATTAGCCCTTTTAAGCTATATTCTTTTAATAGTCTACAGAACAAACCATCGTTATATAATAACTTGCCTAATTACCTTGACATGCCTTGTTAACCTAATTAACCTAGATAAGTCTTTAAATGTCATTTTAAGCTGTATAGAAGTGTCTTGAAAAATATCTAGTAAAATATTATTTACTCTCATCATGGCAAAGATAAAATAAATCAGTTATTAGAGATGAGTTAGTAAAACAATTTTATTTATAAATGTGTAAAATCTCTCAGTTAAACAGAAATTGGGGAAAAAATAAACGGGGGCTAATAATTCTGATCCAACCAGTTGGATTACAGTGATCTGCTAACACGCGGCAAAAATATGTTTGTAAGAAACATTTTCTACCCAAGAGCTTTTCGAATCTGGAAATGGTGAAATCCGGATTTGCCACTCTTCTTTTAAATAAAAATACATGGTTCCAGTTCATGTTTATTTTCCTGTCTCAGATTTGATAAGTGTGTAATCAATGTTCTCTGTTTATGTTTATTTAGATGGCAAAGTTAGTTAGTATTGTCAACACTACTCTTTGAGTTTTTGAAGACATACCTTACTCAAAATGACTTAGTTACCAAGTTTACAGTAATATCACTACAGTATTATGGACTTAAAATCCACCACTTCCACACAGCTCTCAGATCCACTGCTCTCTGAATCACTATCTCCCCTGCATCTGTGTTTGTATTCCCGGTGTAAAAATCAGTTGTAGTGCTTGTAATGAAACTCCCCTTTTCATACAAACCCTTCCCTCTTTTGTCACTCAACACTCCCACCTAAACAAACTCATCAACTTTCCTGACTTTTTTCAAACAAGAGGTGTGAAAACACCCTGCTAAGACAGGGGGTTCATGGCTCTTTAATGGAGGATTAGACAGATCTCAGGTTTTACATAAAATATCATAATTTGTATTCCAAAGATGAGAGAAGGTCTCCGGGTTTGGAAATATGTAAGAGTGATTAATTAATAACATAATTAGCATTTTGGGTAAACTAAACTTTTAATGCAATAGTTTGCTTTTAATTTACTCACCCTCAAGCTATATAACGCAAACACATTCTATTTGTCTGAACAACAAGCCACTGTTAAACAATTACTTGGCTAGTAACACTAACTTGCCCAGTTAACCAAATTAACCTTGTTAAGCTTTTAAATTGCACTTAATAGTATCTTGAAAAAATATCTAGTAAAATATTATGTACTGTCATTATGGAAAAGATAAAAAAAAAAAAATCAGTTATGAGAAATTAGTTATTATAACTTATGTTTAGTACTGTGTAAAACATTCTCACCGTTAAGCAGAAATTGGGAAAAATAAAATTTAACAGAAGGCTCAATCCGCTTAAGTGGTGATGCGTTTGTGACGTATGTAATACTGTTTCCGGGTCCAAGCCGCCACTCATTTGAGTGGAGAAATCATTCGTTTATAATCACATTTTATTCCTATCACACATTAAAGTTAATTTTATATAAAATCATAGTGTACACAACAATCTCTGGGCTTGCTGCATAACAAATACCAAAAATTTAACAATTTATAAAAAATGATCACTTTCTGGCCATCGGATATTAGGCAAGGACATATATACTGCGATCGTGATTTTCGAAAGCCTTAAATCGCTTTGTAAATGTTTATTATTACCATTTCATGAGTCTCCCTATTCAGTTGAATAAAGCGCTTGGACCCGGAAGCCTCTTCGCGTGACATCACAATTAACAAGCGGATAATTCTGACTTCATCTGTACTTTCTACATCACGGAAGTACCTCAATGCCTGGGAAGGGTGTGACCTCTGATCCAGTAGCGATGAGAATGTTTTTAGTGTTAATGACTTGTTCTCCATCAGCAGTCTTTGCAGTCACTTGATTCTTGCCAGTTATCATTCCAAAGCCATTTACATGAGTTACCTAAGAATAGTTAAAAAAAATTATGTTTATGATATACTTTCAAATGTGAATGGTGAAAAATCAAACAAATGAAATATCTTACTTTGTTCTGTTTGAATAAGTGTGCAATCCCGCCTGTCAAAGCTTTGACCGCCCCGCTCTTCTGTGCCATCATCTTCTCCAGGTTCAATGAGATGCCCTGAACTAATTTAGAATAAATCATTAAGAAATGCAGGGCTACAGACTGTTAATGGGTAGGCAAGCTTGAGTGAGTGTGTTTTGAACTGATAAGCCATGCAACTACTAAATAGCTCTGTCTGTTAAAAAAACAAGTTATTTAAACAACCACAAACAACTCTGTGATTTACACTTGTTAAAGAGATAAATCTGAACTGTTTTTTTTTCAATAGCCCTTAGTCTTACCCTTAAGAAGGTGCTTCCACAAATCAACATTTATCATGAATTTACTGTAATAAAAATAATGATTTTTTTGAATTGTATTGTAATATTACCGTTTTAATCATATTAAAATAATAATGGAATATGATAACTGCAGTTTTTAGAAGTCATATTAGAGCTGGGTGGTATGTATAATACTGCATGCATGTATATTGTTACTGCGGAATGAAAGATGTACTGTAAAATAATTTATTCTGTGTATACTGCAAAATGTAAATAAGTGGGCATGGCCAACTCACATGCAATATGCGTGAAGCTGAGGATGATGCTCCATGGGAGACTGGTAGTGTTGCTTTATATTTTCAACAAGAATTGATCACTTAGTTTCAATATTTATACAAGATTTGTAAATGTTTATATTTAGTATTTTTAAAGGAAAAAAGGATTTGATACTTCTTTAGTGCTTACATATTTAAATTTTCATATTGTACATTCCTGATACTTGGGATGTATTTTAGATCGGTGAGATGTTATTTGACAAATATTTATAATGAGGTCAATCCACTGTATAATGTGTCATACAGTGCAATTTGTTGTTCATCTAAAGTCACATTTTGCTTACTATATTTAGGATAATTAAAAAATTTGTAAATTTTTATTTATAAATTTACTACTTAAAAATTAATAGATGTATATTTATATTTATCAAATCATTTTCTCTTCTTAAATATTCAAGCTTATTGTCAATATAAAGCACTTTTGTTCATTTTTTAGAAAAACTATGTCATGAAAAATTATTGTTACTGTGAAATAAACATGCTCATACTGTGAAATAAAATTTGGGTCAAATGGCTCAGACCTTAGACATATCAGATTTTCATACATGCACTTAAAACAAACGTAATGAAGAACAGCAGCCTTAAGACAAAAGTAAGAAACCATATACTTAGAGGAAATCTTTTCGAAGGCAGTGAGATGCTATACACTGCAAAAAATATTTTTTTTACTTAGAGTTTTTAGGCCCTATCATACACCCGGCGCAACGCGGCAAAAGGCATAACGCAATTGTTGTTTGCTAGTTTCAGCTCAACGCAAGAGTCGTTTTGACGTATTGTGCCATGCTGTTTAAATAGCAAATGCACTCATATGTGCACTGGTCTAAAAAAGGAGGCGTGTTGAGGTGCATTGCTGGCGCGTTGCTATTTTGAGGAACTTAAATAGATGGTTCAATAGACCAGATCAAAGCTAGTCTGATGTCCAGCGCAGGCCGCGTTAGTTGTGCACCTCGCTTACACATTGCTTTATACACACAGGATGTACAGCAATACACAAATATCTTTACAAATGAAAAAATTTTAAAGGATTAAAATATTACAAAAAATATTATTTTCTAGCCAACATAAATGTAAAAACCATACTTACATGCCTTCTTCATCTCGGGGGGCTTTTTCAGTTAATTCATAACAATTTGCTTTTGTATAATGCTATTATTAGTAGCACTATAATTTATTATATGCATATTTATATTTGTTTTATTAAAAACATTATTCAAAAGAAGGTAATGATTTGCACTCAATTGTTTCGTGCAGTTTTTATTTGTACTTTTTCTTACATTTTACGGGTGATAACAGACAAACAGACGTTTCGGCACAAAGCCTTCCTCAGTTTGTTTTTATTAAAAACAAACTTAGATTTGTCCACCTGTCAGGTTTTAGACCATATGAGGCACAGCATGTGTATTTGGATATAACTCAGTATTTTGACCTCACTATGTTATTATTGTTCATGTATTCGTTTGCTGGAAATTAGAACTGAATTTAGAAATAGTTTTGAAATAAATATTTGTGTTAAACAAACTAAATGAATTATGTAGGCTACAGGCTAATGGATGTCTGTGCGTACAACACCTTTCTCCATCCACGAGAGTGAAGCGAAAGTAAACAATGAGGAGGCTCATCTCTCATTCTCGCACAAAAGATGCTCTGTTTAACTGTTTTCTCTCTAGTGAAGTGGTCAGTTTTTCCACTTACAAAGTCTGCCATGCAAATAGCAAATGCGCTATGGTGCGGCGCAACTGGCTCTTAAAGGGAATGGGAGATGAGACTCTGATTGGTTGCTTCTCAAAACACACCTATAACTCATTAAGAGAATAAGCTCAACCCTGTAAGACCACAGTGAATTTTTCAAAGTTAATTTTTCCATCCTTCAAATGGCGAAAATGGATTCTGACACACCCTTAATTACTGACACGCCTTTATTACTGTTCAAATGGCCTCAAACTTATTTCCTTGACATGCAGGTCACAAAAGATGTTTACACAGAGCTTATCATAAATTTAAATTTCAACTTACTTTCAATGCCTCTGCTTTCAAAATCTTTTCCATGTGCCATGTGATACAGGTATGAGTTGTTTAGCAAAGCCTAAACAAGTCAAAAATGTTAACCAATATTACAATCGTTCAAACATATAGAGACTTTTTTTTAACGAAAAGGCATTGTTATACTTTGGAGAAAACTCTTTAACTATCACAAACCTTTGATGGGATACAGCCCACATTTAAGCACGTCCCTCCAAGGGTTGCATTCTTTTCCACGCATACTGTCTGTGATAAAAGGTTGCATGTTACCAAAGAGTCTAAAGAAATATCTTCTGTGTCTGAAAACTGGATGTCAGATCGGTACCTTAAACCCAAGCTGAGCTGCTTTGATAGCGGCAACATATCCTCCAGGTCCAGAGCCCACAACTGTGACATCAGCATCAACTTTGAAAAAAACAAATAATTATTTGAATACTGCATCACATATTAGGGCATTACATTTCATTTCAAGTAACTTGCCTTCAAAAACTTTGATTACTATAATCAAATATGACTTTAAGTGATCTTACTTGCTGCTTTGTCAGCATACGTTCTCGCAGACAAGACTGTGGCTCCATGCAGCTTGCAAGGAAGGTGCTGGCCTCGCTGTATATACAAAAAAAATAGTATTATTATTAAAATATGGGTTTTCAATAATCGATTTTAATAAATCCAATTGCCAACCACAATATGAACACTATAATTGTGAATAGATATTTAATAAAAGGGCCAATTCAATAGAGAAAAAAGACATTAACTTAGACACTGAAATTTAAAATGGCAATGTATAAGTGTATGTATTAATCAATCATTCATTGTTATTAAACAGGTACATAATTCTATAGCAATAAAAGCAAATTAGCACAAATTCTGCATAAGACTCAAACATCTTTTTGAGTTATTAAAACTATTTTGTTTAGAAATGTGTGTGTGTATAAAATAAACATGCATTATGAATGTGATGAAAAAAGTTGGCAAGTTTACAGTATACAACATACTTTGTAGAAATTCTGTAAACTAAACTGTACAACCCAAAAGGAACTATGCTAATCAAAAGAATTAGAGTCAGCTCATTATAGAACAAATATGATTGATTTTATTTTACTTTTTTTTTGCATTTATGAGGAAAAACTTTGTTATGTGTGTGACATCTCTCCATTATAGATGTGACAGATGTAAAATAGGCACTTGTGTGACTTTGGTAAATCAAATATAATAGTTTGAAAACATTAACAGATACATTTTTGAAGCTGTGTAAAATACTTGCTTACACAAAAAACACAAAAACAAATTCAATATTTTGGCAATAATTATAGATATAGTACAACAGAATAAGTTAAATTAGCAAAACAAAAACTTCCTCATTCCCTTGTATGAGATCAGTATAACATATCTGTACATGTACATAATGTCTACTGTCTTCCTTGACTCTCGTGTGTGAACTTTCATACATTTTGTAAGACAAACCCCTTGAAAGTATAATTAGCAATAACTCTTTTGAATTGGTTTTGATAAAAATAAAAACTTTAAAAACGAACAAAAAAGAAGCTATTGGTAATTTTTATATTAACAGAAAAAGCAATAGTCTTGCTTAAATGTTAATGGCCACAATCCCAGTGTTGTGTCTACATAGACAGCACTTTTTGGCATTACTGGCACGTACATTGAGTATCGCGTTTCAACGCGTCTACGGTGGACATAAGCTTAATATTTTTGACGTGATTTGATTTGTACCTGGACTAACGTTACAATTATGTGACCTAGAGTAGCTAGCCAATAATTAAAAAGCTTCACAGTGACAGAAATGAAACAACACGCCCTCCAAGTTCAACCAATGGATAGAGATTGACTTTTTAGTTGTGTAATATGCATTAACACGTTCGGTAATTAGTTATATAGACACAATAAATACACGTACTATGTAGTTAAATTAACTCGGTTCGCTTCGTTTGTGTTTATGTTGACGTTGACATGCGGGTTTGCTATAGGCCTACACGATTATAATGTTGCATTTTTTGTAAAACGCTTTCATTTTCTATCTGAAGCCAGTACTTATATACCCAAAGTACGTTGTAATAAGGACAATAAACAGTCGTTACCGTAGCGAGTGTGCGGTACAGATGGTTCCAGCTCTGCATTTTGACAGTATGTCCCTTCCGAGACCGCTTCACCTACAGCGATTGCTGTGTCCAAGGACTTGCAAATTAACGCATGCGCATTAGGGATGCTTTCAGAGTCGCATTCTGATGATGTCACTCATATTTGTTAAAACTTCAAACTAGAATTGTGTCTGTTTGCTTTAAATTCAATTATATTTCTATTTAGGTTCTATATTCATAAATGCAAATGTTCAAATTGCAAACCTGTCTTTGTAGTATTTATACTATAAAAGATGAAAATTACTCAAGACTCACTTTAGAAAAAAAGCATACAAAGAATAAGCCATAAAATATTTGCACGGCCAATATTTTTTTTTTTAAATTTGCTAAATCTCTAAAATAAATGTATACATTTTGTACTCTTCGCTTTCTATTAAATTATTCATGATGTTTTTTCTCTAGATCTATGATATTGATCCTTTTTTGTTATTCTTCTTTTTCTGTTCTTGGTTTCTCTAAGTAGCCTGCTCTGATTATTGTAAGTGTTGTCTATGGTGCTAAAGGTCGTACAATCTACACTAAATGTACAAATAAAATATTAATAAGGCTGTAATTTTGTTAAAATATTGAGAAAAATACAATTTATATTCACCCATTCATTTAATCATTTTCATTCGGCCCTAATTTATCAGGGGCTGCCACAGTAGAATAAATCGACACAATTTATTATAATAGAGTATAATTTTCCTAAAATTTCTCATTTTACTTTATTAATAATTATTTATTCACTCAACACAAATTCCTTATCTTTCTGTATGTGTATATTGTTTATTTATTGTTATTTTATAATATTTAATCTGTTGTAAGTTTGCCCCTTAAAATATTGATGTCACGTATAAGTTGAATGGCATGTTGTTTATAAATCTATTATAATTTAAGAAGAAGAAGAAGAAGAAGAAGAAGAAGAAGAAGAAAAAGAAGAAGAAGAAGAAGACAACACTTTAAATCTGGACTCTGGCCTGGAGCATTTGCTAAACTTTTTTTTTTTTTTGTAATCATGTACATTCAAAGTTATTTGTGGTAAAATGGAACACTGCATTAAAAAATTATATTCATAAAGGATGCTTTTTTGTATTTTTTATTTCAGTATAAATCATGTGTGTGCATATGTAATAAAGTGTATATTATTTTATTGAAATAAATTAATGAAGAATGTTGAAAAATGTTAGTAATAAAAATCAAAGAAGACTTTGATGCAAAGAAATATAATTATTTGATGTATATATTTTTTATGCACTAGTGTATTGTTTTGTATTGCATACACTATGTAGTCTAATAAAGAACACTTTTTTTGCAAAGATTTTATTTTTTAATATACAATTTTGTCTAAAACTTTGAAAACATTTCTGGGGTTTTCCACAACATTATTCTAATAACTGCCAGCGGCCTGTTGTTTTACGAACTTGTTCTAACACATGAAGACATATGAAAAATAAATATTTCACATCTCATAAATGAATAAAATACATTTCCCAATCACACAGGAAGCACTCCATCACCCTAAAAGTGCAATATAATATAATATAATATAATATAATATAATATAATATAATATAATATAATATAAAATAATATAATATAATATAATATAACATAATATAATATAATATAAAATAATATAATATAATATAATATAATATAATATAATATAATATAATATAATATAATATAATAACATAACATAACATAACATAACATAACATAACATAACATAATATAATATAATATAATATAATATAATATAAATGTGAGAAAGGGTGTGCATCTGTAGAATCATGATATATTTTCTGCTATTTAAAACTAAGAGAACCACTCATACCATACAATAGGTAGCCTACACAAAGAGTTCCCTCTAGTGGTAAAACCTGCACAGAAACTTTCAACTCCTTAAAGTCTTATTTCACAGTACGTTAAAATAATACTATGTGCGTGAAAAAAGTTAAATAAATTAAATGAACACGTAAAAATAAAACTACAGAAAGGGGCATTTTGTCTCATATTCGTTTTCCAAACATTGATTTATTTATATTATTTACTCTGAAAATTAAGATATTTTTTATATATTAACATATTTTTATCTGTTTATTTCCTTCTGGACATTTTTATATAGTTTTATTAATTAAATTAATTACATTTTCATATTGAAGTAGGCTAAGAATGGGCCCATAACAAATTAATACATCACAATGCAAAGTTGTGTAAAAACACCCATTAATTTATTTAATCAATTCTTCTTCTTCTTCTTCTTCTTCTTCTTCTTCTTCTTCTTCTTCTTCTTCTTCTTCTTCTTCTTTTTACTAATCTAAATACAAGAGCATAACCCGACTGGCTTCAGTTTCAAGAGACGTAATGAGATTGAAGAGGATTAGGGCGGAAGTAGGTTTAAATGGATAGTTCGCTCAAATGGAACAAAGGGGAATACGTTAGGCGGAACGAGACACTCGGTTGCATTGAATCTTTTTCATGTACATGTACAGTCAATGGTGATTGATACCGTTCTGTCCAGTATTTTAACGTCTTGTTTTGTGCTCCAATACCGGTTTGGTACAACGTGAGGGTTGACTTTTTTGTTCTTTTATGAGTAACTTTAAGAGTATGCTAATTACTGATCGATATGAAAATATGTATTTGACTTGCTCATGTATTTGAGGTCGCCGACTTTTGCCTTGTACAATGCGCATGTGCGGTTTCATAGCAACAGTAATAAACTTGCAGTACACCGGACACCAGAGCGTGAATGTGAAGATGTCATCCCCACGGGAGCGCGAGGCAGCAGAATACATCAAAAAACACGAAATTGTTGACCTAATGGATAATTTAACTAGTATGCTCTTCTTCTACAGACCAGGTAAGACTTTACCTCATATTTGGTAACTTTAGATTACTTTAGTTTACCGGCTACCTCTATATTTGTTGCGTAAGAGTTTGAAAACATTATTTGGAGGAAACTGCCTCTTTTAGTACATAGAAAAAATATTATTTTGCGTTCGTACTAATAACTAATACCAAGTCTTACAGATCGTCCTAGGAAATTTCTGATTGACCAGCTTGAAAAGCTTAAAATTTCCAAAGATCATCAAGGAAACACCCCGTGTCTTTTAAACGTATCCAACCTAGACGCGCTGTTCGGAATCCTGGATCCTTCCAATCAAGGCTGCATCACTTATGGTCAATACAAAGAAGGTAAATCCTTTAAGTTGCAGATATCGTAAAAAAACGTTGTCCTTTTAGGAAACCTTTAACAACACATAAAAACATAGTGTAAAACGTGAATGAATAAAGCAATTTTGGGTGAAGGCTTCAGAGAAATGCATGCAACATTAACCAAAATAAATGTAAAATGCAAGGACAGGCTTTTTGGACGGAGCATTATATTATGTTTCAAATCATATCCCAGATAGCATACAAATGTAGGTCATTTTATGCAGTTTTGCAGCACTGGTGGTATTCCTTTCGGCCCAGACAAAATTAATGTGAGCCTGAAGTGGCCCATGTGGAAAATTATCAATTTGGCCCAAATAATGGAGGACAGATGTGGGCCACAATTGGCAAAAATGTGGCCTAGTCATTTAAGGGTAATCTAGGTATAATAAACCTAAAGTGGCTCACATGTGTAAGTGCAAATGTGGCCCAGTTATCTTAAGACATTTGCCACTTTTGGCAAATATTGTCACAGTTAGCTCTGGCCAATGTGGCTCTGAGCCTAAAGAGGCTCAGAGAAGATTTGGCAAATGTGGCCCAGTTATCTTCACATATGTGGACCACATAGTCATCATCATGGAGAAAAGTGTTTGCTTTAGTTTGGCTCATAGCCCTAAACATCTTAATATAAATATCTTTTGGGCTGCTGTAACTTTTAAGATTTTTGCTTGAAATTTTTATTCATTACATCAAACAAGCCAAGTAAAATAATAAATTAAGTGAGGCACAACCTAGGATGAAATAATATAATTCACTGATGTTAACCCATGTTTAATCCATTATTAGAAGTAACATAATGACATGCTTGCACATGCCACAGAATTATAAAGGTTTATAAGCTATTAACATTCTACGGTTCAACTTCTGTTCACAGAGATATCAATAATTAGATTATAAACCTCAACAACGGTGACAATTAACAAAATAAACAAAACTCACAAACATAAAAAATATATATATATATATATATATATATATATATATATATATATATATATATATATATATTTTTTTTTTTTTTTTTAGTATATATATATATATATATATATATATATATATATATATATATATATATATATATATATATATATATATATACTAAAAGTGACAAAATCAACTACGTCAACATAAACAGCAGAATCAAAATCAAATAATGAAAACCATAGCATCAATAAGTTGTATAATGTATTCATACTGCAATGTATGCTGGGATTTTTGTTCTTTGCCACACCTAGCAAGTGTAATTTATAGGCCAGATCTGTGCCAGAATAAAAACTAACTGTGGCCCAGAATAGGGTCAGTTCTGGTTCATTTGGTTGAATTCTGGCTAATATGTGACATTGCTATGGCTTAATAGTGGCCCAGATCTGGCAAACAGGAGAGGACTGCCCAAGTGCCATCATTCCATGTGGTATGTGGGCTGGATGTAAGTTTATGGTGTGGGCCGGATTTGAGCCACGTGAATTTTGCTAGCTGGGATTGGATTATATTACATAATACAGGATCGTATATTTACTTGAAATAATATATTGGGTTCCACACAATCAATTTGTGTTAGGATAAAATGAAGGAATTAAGTTACCTTATTAGTTTTCACAAATTTTTCAACACAAAAAGATTTGTGTTGTTTCAGCTCAAGTTAAATAAGTAGTTTGAACAAACAGCAAATGTTGTTTTTTGATTGTTATTAAAGAAATTTCAGTTTCGTTTATTTATCGAAAATACCAGTGTTTAAATAGTATTTTCCTTAATTTGTCAGTAAGTTTTTCAGATTGTTTTTGTATTTTAGTTAGCATGTTATGTTTCTGTTTTATAAGCATATTTTTAATAGTTTTTATTACCTATTACATTTGTTTTATGTACTGTATGTATGCTTTTTTGGAGAACCAATAAGATTTTTATTCATCAAACAACTGATAATATATGTGAACAATCTTATATTGAATCTTATGAAGGAATCTGAAATACCTCTGAAGACATGCTCACTTCATGAGGATTTTTTTTAATGAACTTTTTTAAGCGTCCAAGATATTTGTGATTATTTTCAATGAAAGCACACAAATCTATCAGACTAAAAATATCTTAGTGTTCTGGAAATTAATTTATTTCTTATGGGTACTTTGGATCTATTTAAAGGTAAGCAAATGGTGAGTCAAATTAAGTCAAGTGAAGTCATATATATTTATTTATATACATTTATATATCTATATATTTATTATATTATTAGTGTGATACAAGTTAAACATGTAAAAACATATTAGCATATTTTCTCGATACGACTTACAAACATTGTTTACAGTTCATGCATGTAAGAATTATACCAGTGGTCTGACTAAATGTAACATGGGTCCCCAACAGTACTAAAGACAATTGGCATTAAGAATTTCAGCGCGTTCCCTGATGGAGCCAGTGAAAACAAGATATCTCAGGAAACATTCATAAGAGAGGTGTAAGTACTGCTTGAGTAATATTATTTGGATATTCAAGGTCTGTGAATTCAAAGTTTGAATGCAGACACAACACTCATCTTTTGTTTTGAATGTATTTGATTATATCAACAGTATGTTATGTCTTTCATGTTTTGATAACATTTAATAAGGCAGATTAATGACTGTGAATTCTGTGCTTGATTTATCAGGATCTCTCTAATTCTCTGTTTAGGACAAACAGCTTGTAAGATGTGCAAGAACATTCAAGCAGTAGAAGAACTCAACAACTATTAAAAAAAGTTTTTCAAGTGTTAAAAGTGTTCTTTAAAGGATTTTGTATTGATTCATATGAGAAGAGTATATTCATAAAGATGTATTTATGTTCGATTATTTTTACTATTAACAAATAAATCATGACAAATATTGCAATGCTGCTTACACATGCACATGCATTATATTGTATATTCCATAACACTATACCCAAGCATTGCAGGAAACAATCTGTATTTTTACATTTTGAAAATACTGATTGTGTGTTTTATAGAAAATTTTCCTTATAGGGACCATAAAATAGTCCCCACACATACTTGTACGGACATTAATAAGGAACACAATGTGGATGCATTCACAAATTCTGTGTTTGAAGGCATACACATAAAGAAATAAACACACAAACACATCAATTTTTCTAGCAACTAAAGCTCGATGTAAATTTTACTTCGTGCCTAATTTTTTAAACATTATAACATTGTAGTGTTTTAGGTTATAGGTGGTGTGTGGACACAGAATATTAAAACTCTCAACTCCCACCAATCTGTATATTGGCGAGGGGGACAATTGCAAACTTTGTCATCATGAACTATTCTTATGTTTGTTCATACAATAAAGTCAGAAGCCATTGAAATGTTATGTATGGACAAAAATAAACACTTGAGATCTTTTCTAAACATCTTGTTTTGTTTTCCACAGAAAGTAAATAGTACAATTTAATTGTCTGTAATTATAGCATTGAGACAGAGAAGATTATTGTCAAATAATTTATCCACAACGTGAAAAATCTTGATTCTTTACACTATTTGTGTCTATATTTAAAAAAAGCTTGTTTGTTATAGACTGATATCCCTGTCAAATTACTACAACTGCAGTGAATATTAATGATTTGCTAAAATATTTTACCTACTTTTACACCATTAAAAAAAATATGTGAGTTGTGACCATTAAATATCTAATAAGCACACATATTGTATTTCTTTATATTATTACATTTTATTTGTATAGCCTTTATCATTTAAAACGCATGTGTCAATATGTTAAATACATTTAACCCAGTAAAAAGGTATATAGTGTATAAAAGGGAAAAGATAAAAACTAAAGTATCGTTACAACTGGATGTTGTTAAATGTTAGTGTATCACACAGATGTGTGAACTGATTTTTTGCCTCCAAATTAATAAAAATGTGAGGTCATAAATTTAAAAATAATTAGTGGATTTGTAAGAAAATATGTAGAGTATTTGTATGCCCGTTACACTTGGTTTGATGTACATTTTATCGATAAAAAATCTCACTGGTGTGGAAAAACAAATGACAAAAATACCACATCTATCAGTGAATGCCAGTTTACCTTTAGGTATATAAAAAAAAACTTAGCAGTTATACACTCTCACAATGCAAAAGGTCAGTGGAGAGACAGAGAACGACTTACATTAACAGTTCAATGGGAAGAATACCTACATGGTAATTATGGACTGTTCAAAGTTTTGAATGAATGAAGGTGTGTTAGCTTATGAATAGTTTAATGTTCACATGCTACAATACTATTGTGTTAAACTAGCATTGTTTTTTTTAAATGCTAAATTTGGAGGCTGTCATATGGTGTTGATCATAAAAAAACAAACAAACATGAAGGGGTTTCTTCAATTTTGGCAAATATTCTATCCTCGGGGATGATTTTAAAGAAACAATTTAAACCTTAAACATTAAATTATTTAAACATTAAATTATATATAATATCCTGTGTTGTGCTTTTATTTCTTCATGTTTTCCTTTTAAACAATTGTTCAAGTTATACATTTGCCATTGTTATTTTACACTTTCTTATCTTTGCCTCCTGTGTTTTTTTAAACGCTTAATCAAAGAATTTATATTAATACTTTGTCAGTTTAGTTAAAATAGTAAATAAAAGTTAACATTTGAAACAATAATTTTAGGAAAATGTCAAATTGCTATGTGGTTCAAGAAACAATATCAAATCCACTCTTGCAGACATTTATCTGTTTATATGGGCCTGGTTTTATTAACAAACATGTCAAACGTTAAACAAAATTTACTTTCAATAAGTTTAAGACTTTAAGTAGATAAAAGTTTGCTTAGTCGATGTTAATGAATTTAAATTTAATTAAATTTTGTCTAATTTTGGAAATATATATTTGTTTACAGTGTTTTTTTTTTAAATAATAATTGTCCAAAAAAGTAATATATTTAATCGCCAATGGAAAGGCTCCGTGGGCTTAAATTTGTGTTTGGAATCCGGTGTATTTGCAACAGTTTTATCTGGATGTGTGAGAAATTAACTGGTCCTTAATTTCCTTAGTTTGATGCACACGTTGTGGGGGTCAGATGTAAATCACCAATCTGGCGACAACATCGGGTGCCACATTTTGGTGGTCTCAAACATCCATTGCACCTTTGCGCAACAGCCGCTTCTCCGCCGAGAGGTCCTCGCGGTGCACAAAGGCAGCTTCCGAGAGGGCAGCGTCAGCGCGAGAGGCGAGAGAAACAATCTCCAGATCGCCTTCTACCATCTTTACTCGAAAGCGAACGTTGTTTTTACACGAGGTAAGAACTCCGTGAACACATCTCAGCCGATTTCAACCGCGGGAGTTGCCCACTCGGGCCCGGAATCGTGCAGCGGACCAGTGTCGTTTCCTATCCTGCGCGAGCGTGGTTGTTCTCTACAGAAAATGGCGTCACCGTTCGTGCTGGCTGTGCAACCGGGGAAAACGCACTTGTTCCGAGCGCTTAAATTAGAGCGAGAGTTGATTCGGACTCGCAGCGACCGTCCGCAAAGATAAAGCAAGTCTGCGGGCCTACTTGGGAGTGAATATGGCACTTCATAACAAAACAGCGAAGAGGAGAGGACGCGTAAAGGCGGAAGGGTCACCAGACCTGTGCGCCAAAGCGGCTTCGGGAAGATGGCACAGCGCCGCAAAGCGCAGCACTTTATCTGTCGGACGTGCCCTATAATCACGCAAATCCTCCCGAATGTGTGCGCTTTGTCACTGTTTGGGGACGAGATTTCATATTTTGGTGGATTTGCACTCAGAAAGCACCATAAGTTGGTGGCAACGTCGTCTTTTGTATCGCCTCTCGCGTCAGCCCGCCTTTACGCCGCACTCACTCCCTGGTAAGCATCAGTCCTTCTTATGCCGCTTTAAAGCTCCATTCTGCACATGGGCTCTCCTTCTCCATCAAGTTAATCTGGCCCATTGTGGTTCGCAATAGAGGAGATTTGGCCTGACAATGTAACCGTGTAAAAGAGATTTACAGAATAATGGAGCTATGCAAATTGCTTCACGAAAACGCTAAATAGCCCGAATATCCGGAAAACCTGGCGATATAATCTGCGCTTACATTTTTAAACAGTTTGGCTAAATGAAGCGTGTATGCGCCACGACGTGTCTAAATTGCGCATAGGGGAGAACGCAAACCCCGGGTTTTCCAACAGGTTTTAGTAGGACAGAAATGCCCACGAATAGCGCAAACACACACTTTTCGATGTTATCCAAGTGGTAGTCTGCGATACGTTGGCTCTTTGGTGGTCAGATGCTTAATTTTAGCATCTGTGGACTTGGCGATGCACATGCTGCCAATGGCTTCGCGCGTTCCCGTACACATGCATCCACAATTTCTTATCGAAAGTCATTCAAACGCATGAACTGATGTTGGTGCTTCTGTTCTGGTCATCCAGAACTTGTAGTTGTATATTTGTACTTTGATTTGGAAACTGTCACTGCTAAATGTGGGCATCAACTTTTCACGCTGTTCTTACATTTGGCCCCTTGTGGAACCAGTGTGTTTTGATGGGTACGTGCGAATGAGAGTGCGTGTTAAAGGTTCTGGGTACGACTTTGTCGTATAAAATAGCAATTTTATCCTGTGTCTGATATGGTAATGCATCACCGCGTAACGTTAAAAGCACAATGTCGAGGTTTATTTTGTGGTGACTTTTCGCGAGCTTATGTGACCACGTAATTTTAAACAACCACATGATGTACGTCCGACATTGTAGCGTGTCATTATTAAATGCATCATTTAATGACAAACGTTATATATCACGCGTTTTACTCCAAAGCTTTAACAGGATCTGGCACAGATCGTGTGTCTGTTATTTTAAATTATTATTTTTCCGGTCACGTGGCCAAATGTCTGCGATGCTTTTGGGTGCCTACCGATGGTCAATCCACGACGTTCTCGGTTGTTTTGGATGCTCTCGCACGCTTATAGTAGGCTTTAGTTTTACACGAAATACTTAGTTTGTTATGAAGTTTGCAAAGTACTTGTTCATGCACGAGTCCACCGCGATACTCTGATATTTGCTAGTCTTTTTGATTTGACACCGACAATGCGACTCGTATCAAACACATTTGTTTTTTATCAATCGAACGGCAGGTTTTAAAAACAGAATGGTACTAATATGAAGCATAATTACGTTAATTTGTAAATTTGGCCATGGACACGTGCTCATTCAAACACCCTCGCGACTTCCTGCCTCGCGAATGTTTGGGCAGGACACTGCTATCTCGGTCAGGTGTCCATCAGAATCACAACACAGAATATTTTAGTTTTAATTTGCCCTGTTTTTCGCAATACTCAAGTAAACACAATGGCATGCATCGAAGCACATCAAAACATTGTTTTTACCATAGTAACCTCCGCCCAATACTACAGCTCTAAGGAATGAGTTGACATGAAAACAAGCATTTCCTGCAATATTTAAGTGAACTGCATAAAGCTGAAAACCGATAAAATTGAACTAAATGAAATATTAATACAAGACGTATACATATCTAAACTGCAATATTGGGTTAATATTTTTTGCCACTTGCCCAAATCTTACCATTCATAGTTTGCCCTGCTATGTTTTTTAAATGAAATGAAATTGTGTTGTGGTAACTCTACTTAGGAAGTTACTTTTCTGTTGTTCTTTAAACTGGTTAGAACAATGGATGCTACATATTAGGATAATTTTGTTTTTACTGATTGTTGCATAATTTTGCTTGTATTAATCCAATTGAATTGTTGTTTTATCATCATAATCTAATAACTAAATGTTTAATATTTTGACTAATTTAATAATTACAAGTTTGTGTGTAAAGGGTACCTTTAAGTCAAAAATAGTATTTTTTAAAAGCTCTGTGATTCAACAATTCATTCTCATTTTAGTTTTTCTCGTGGTCATAAACAGTTCTTTCTATTTTCCCAGTCTTGATGGTTGTTTGATGCTTGACAGACATTTGCATAATTTGTATTGTTTCATTCTGTTATGCCTCCTCTTAAAATTTCCCTGGTAATTGTGAAATAAATGTCTTTAACATAGTCATCAAAGTGACATTAATAGGTGTTTGTCTTTGTCAGTACAGGCTTAAACAACTGGAGTTGACTTACAAGCAAATTCTTATAATTTTTGTTTAAAAATATATATTTGATTATCAAATTGTAATTGGTTAATTACGCTGCTTCTGCTACTGGAAAACATGTTGCCATTTCGGGATGCATGTGTTAAAAAAATAATTTCTCCATTAAAAGCATTGAGAGGAAACTGCTCTGATTCACTTTTTTGTTTAGCCTTTTAGGTTCATAAAAGGGGCCTCTGAGATGGAGGCTACTAAGAGTGAAGTTCAGGGAAGCCTGACTAGTGACAAATACTGCCAGACTGAGACACTTCAGGCCTGCTGTTGCCAAACAACAGAAACCCCTCAAGAGCCTTGTGGCAAAAATCCAGGTAGGAACCCGGCACCTTAAAGTCAACATGAAATTAAAACTGACCCTGTATCCTTTTTAAATACACATTCCTGCTCTTATTGTGCTCGATTTGTCAGTCTATCCAAAGAGGAAAAGTTCTTTCCTTTCACAATAAAAAGTCTTTCTTATTTTTGGCAGAATTCAATTATGCAACACACACAATAATAAGTACATAGAATACTTAGGTGTAGACTTACAAAGTTTTTATATATTT